AACTATCAATTCCCTTAATGCTTACGTAAATACTTTCAACAAACCGAAAATCAACTTTAAGGTATTCTTTATCTATTTTAAACTTATTACTATTTTGCCAGATATCGAATTGGTTTTTTCTGAAAGTCATTCTACGGTTAGTTGATTGATTATGACCTTCGAATTCTGTTGACTGTTTGAAAAAACTCTTCATAATCAGAGCATATTTGTAAGACACATCCTCGGATATAGGAATTTGCACAGGATCTGATATCCAGAGTGTGGTTTTTGGAACTTGGCGAAGTAGTACTTTTTGTTCTTTCCAATCACCCAAAGTTGGACAATTTCCGAAAACTACTGGCTGAATAGATGAATCAATATGTGGTAAATGAACTGCAAATACTGTTGTATTTGATAAATTTGTATCAATATTCATATTGCTCGCATTAACTCCACCATTTTGCGAAGCTGCTGTAGTGGAGCTTGAGCCTCTCGTATCCTTATCATCCATTATTTTTTTAAATTCTTTATTAAACTCTATTATATTTTTGATATTTTCAACTATTTAACCAACAATACATATCCACTTTCTTAGAGAAAGAAAGTTTCGGACTTTTTTTTTTGCACAATTAAGAGGTAATTTCAATGATATACAGTTACACTACAGAAATATAATAACCTTTTTTGATGTGATGACTGATGATACAAAAATTGTATTACGTACGCACGTCGTACGTACAACACGTGTTAGCAATTCAATTTACGTAGATACATCAAGGATTTGTTTTTGCTTGTATTGCAGTCATCATTCAAATTGAAATCGTGCCACAATTTATGCCAAAGTGTAATTATCACTGTACGTACTATAAATTTCTAAGATTACAGTAATTCACGCAATAAACAATTTGATTATTTAATGTTGAAAGTTCGTTATTACGTACATATTGAACGGCACTAATTTATTAAAATTATTGTTTACATGAAAGGTTCTGGTAATATTATTCAAGTAAATTTCTTCACAATCCAACTGATTTATCTTAAATCAGAATTATATTGCAATTAAAAAAAAAAACTATGGAACTCTCATTAATTGAACCATTCAATTTCTTTATTCTATTTTCAAAAAGGGTGCTTAAAATTATATTCCCAGGTATTCTTATTTTAGTCACATCAGTCAAAATTAGTGATA